AATTCCTAAGATCCAAATGAGTGCTGCCCTTGGGCCCCTGGAGAGAGATGTGGGGGCCTGGCCTACCCACGTGCAGGGGAGTCTGCCCACTCATCTCCAGGCCTCACCTCCTGGTGGGAGGGGAATCTCTGCATCCTTGGTAAAAGACAACTCAAACCACATCCCCCCTGGGTTCAAGCCCAGGGCTCTCCATCAGAACATACACTTTTTTTTTTTTAACCTAAATAAACAACCATAATTAAAATAATTCATTAACTCTGTAAATAGTTATCAAGCATCTACTCTGTACCAGGCACTGTTCCAGCTTCTGAGATTCCAGTGATGAATGAAAAAGGATGGTGTCTGTAGAGGAGCTTAAATTCAGAACTAACATCTGTGAAGGGTTTCCTAGTACCAGATGCTTTGGGTAGATTATTTTCTCTTTTAATAACTGTTTTGTTCCAAAATGGCAATAATTTTTTTTTTTATCCTCACCCGAGGACATTTTTCCATTTTTTGTTCAGGTAGAGTGGGAGTGAGAGAGAGGAACAGAGAGAGAGAGAGAAACATCAACGTGAAAGGAACACATCGAGTGGCTGCCACCCGCACGACCAACCAGGGCCGGGGACAAACTGCAACCGAGGTACGCGCCCTTAGCGAGAACCGAACCCGGGTCTCTCAGGACCGCAGGCCGACGCTCTAACCGCTGAGCCAAACCGGCCAGGGCAGCAATAATTTTTTTAAAATTAAAACTGATAGTAATTTTTTTTATTTCTCACCCAAGGATATTTTTCTATTTATCTTCAGATAGAGTGGGAGGGAGGGAGGGAGAGGGAGAGAGAGAGAAACATTGATATGAGAGAGAGACATCGATTGGCTGGCTCCTGCATAACATGACCAGGGCTAGGGACTGAACCACAACTGAGGTACCGTGCCCTTGACCGGAATCGAACCTGCGACTCTTTGGTCCGTGGGCCGACGCTCTACTGCTGAGCCAAACTGGCCGGGGCATTCCCCTCTCTTTTTTTAAGTCATTTTTAATAATCTGAATTCTACGAGCTGTTTCCCAGAAGAATGTATTTGAAAATTTGTTTTCTAGTTAACCACACATTTATCTGTGTTTTGCATGCTTAATCCTCACAGTGACCCTATCAGGAAAGTGCTCTTACTACCGCCAACCTAGGCCTAAAATTGTATGTACATCTCAGGGGTCTTGTCTTTACCCCAGGAGTGAGATCCTTTGCTGGAGGACTGGGACCTGGGACTTTGCCCGGGCTGTGGGAACATGGGGTTTCTCTGCAGTCCCAGGACCCAGTGTGGAAATGAATGTTTGTCAAGTGAGTGAAGAAACACTGCACAGGGCTGCAGCTAAGGTTGCCGTGTGCTCAGGCCCTGCCTGGGACACCACAAGGCACCTCTGGGGGCAGGCTGTGGCAGACCTGAGCCTGGAGCAGGAGGTGTTCACTGGAGAGGGAATAACTGAATGTTGTACCTGTCAGTCCTCAAAGGTCAGAGCGTGAGTGTCTGGCTCCCATTCTCCAGCAACCCACTCATGTGACAGGTTCTCGTGATACATTCAAATTTAAGATGTCTTCGTCATGGTGCAGTGATCAAGCCTTTCAGGTGGACAAGCCTGGGAGTGAATTCTTTCTCTCTGCCTTTTTCTTAGCTGTGTGATCTCAACCAAGTTACTTCCTACTTTGTGTCTGTTTCTTCACCTGAAAATACACAAAAACAATCCTTACCTTTCAGGGCATGGGGGAGGGTAAAGAATCATCATGTGCAAAGTGCTTGGCTTGTGGTAAATAAGAAGTGGTGGCTGCTACTGCTATTTCAGCTTTAATGTGGGGCGTGGACCACGGCTGCCCAAGGACCTTGGGGCATTGGGGTTTCCTGGAAAACAACCTGCTGGTGCCAGCCTTGAGATCTTTCTCTCCAAAGCACCACCGCCTCTAGTTGGGGTCTTGTAAAGGCCCATTTACCGTCCAGGTAGTTTAACTAGTCTGTGCCAAATTGAAGAGCCTGGGCAGGGGGCATAGGGGCTAGTGTCCAGCGGAATTCCCCTTGAATAACGAGTCCTCATTTAAGGATATGTATTAGCCCTGGCCAGTTTGGCTCAGCGGTTAGAGCGTCGGCCTGCGGTCCGGAGAGACCCGGGTTCGGTTCCCGCTAAGGGCACGTACTTCGGTTGCAGTTTGTCCCCGGCCCTGGTTGGTCGTGCGGGTGGCAGCCACTCGATGTGTCCCTTCACATCGATGTTTCTCTCTCTCTCTCCCTTCCTCTCTCTCCCTCCCACTCTATCTGTACAAAAAATGGAAAAATATCCTCGGGTGAGGATTAAAAAAAAAAAAAAGGATATGTATTATTCCACTGGCCTTGGGCTGGTGGAATCACCACAGTATTCACCAAGTAGTTCATGTGTGTCAAGATGCAGTCATCCAACTGGGCTCAGCATCTTCCTCCATAATATGAGAGTGTAATAACTATGGTGCCTAATCTGAAAAGTTGTCAAGAGTGTTCCACTGTAAAGTGCACTGTGCGTATAGGAACTAACATGTATTTATCCCCTACATGAGCTAGGCACTGTGTACATGCTTTACAGGCATTATGTTACTATAATCTTTGAAACAAACTTTATGTTGATTAGATGTCCTTGTCCTTATTTGAAGAAACTGATTCTGTGAGATTGCCCAGGCTCAGGCAGCTAGCAAGTGGCAGAGCTGCACTCCAACAGACCTTGGTCTTTCTAATGCCACCTTGGTGACATCTCCACCATACCACTCAACTTCCCTGAATCATTAGGCGCGGCCTGTGGGTCTATTGCAGGTGGCTCAGGGGTCCATCGCCCATTAAACATTAGAACCTCCAAGGCTGTGCTTGTCAGAAAAACCCAGTTAGAATCTCTGGGGTGAGAGGGAGGGATGAGAGAGGTGGGGGGGGGGAGAGAGAGAGATTTGTTGTTATTTATTTTTTTAATCCTCACCTGAGGATATTTTTCTATTGATTTTTTTAGATAGAGTGGGAGGGAGGGAGGGAGGGAGGGAGGGGGGAAGGAGGGAGAGGGGGGAGGGAGGGAGAGAGAGAGAGACATTGATGTGAGAGATACATCAATTGGTAAGACCCCAACCCCAGCTGGGCTGGGGATTGAACCTGCAACCAAGATGAGTGCCCTTTACTAGGAAGAACCCTGGACTCTTTGGTCTCACACAGGTCAACGCTCTAACTGCTGAGCCAAATCAGCCAGGGCTGTTGTTCTGATTATTTATGCATCCATTGGTTGATTCATGTATGTGCCCTGACCGGAGATCAAATCTACAACCTTGGTGTATCGGGATGACACTGTAACCAACTGAGCTACCCAGCCAGGGTAGAAGTCTTCATTTATTGTTTTATAATTCTTCTTTAAGAGAGAGAGGAAAGGAGAGGGAGAGAGAGATAGAAACATCATGAGAGAGAACATCAACTGGCCGCCTCCTGCATGCCCCCCACTGGGGATTGAGTGGAAACCCAGGAATGTGCCCTGACTGGGAATCAAACAGGGACCTCTCAGTCTATGGGATAAGGCTCAATCCACTGAGCCACACGGGCCAGGCCAGCAGTCTTCATTATAAACAAGCCCTACCCTGCAGTGATTCTGGGGACCACTGGACTCTGCTTTTCATTTCTGGACATAAATAGTCATCCTATTTATGCCAGAATCTGCTTTTCTAAAAATTAATCTTAGAGTAGCAAGGAGAGAGACAGCACCCACAGAAGGAAGAGTTTGAGAACTTCTGATGATGCAGATGCATTTTTTCCCCTTTCAAGACTCTAAAGCACATGGTGGAAAGAGTAAGAGGCCTTGTAAAACACACAGGCTCAGGAGTCAGAATTGCCACCTTGAACAAGTCACTTAATCTCAAGGCTCAGCTTTTCATCTGTAAAATGGGCATGCTAAAACAATCTTCCAAGATTACTGTGAGAATTAAATAAGTAAACACCACCAGTTTCTCATCCCTCCTGGCATTTACCACAGTGTGTTTCAAGTTTGTCTCAACAATGTATCTCCAATTCCTAAGATTGTGTCTAGCACATGTTTCTGGAAGAGGTAACATTTGTAAAGATAAAGTCTGCCAGGCTCACAGCTAATCCTCAATAAATTAAAAATAGCCCTGGCTGGTTGCTCAGTGGTTAGAGAGTCAGCCCCCTGGACCAGAGAGTCCCAGGTTCCTTCCACTAAGGGCAAGTACCTCGATTGCAGTTTGTCCCCTGCCCCCGTTGGGGTCCTGCGGGTGGCAACCAGTGGATGTGTCTCTCTCACATTATGTCCCCCTCTCCCCATCTGAACATAAATGCAAAAAAAATGTCCTTGGGTGAGGATTACACACACACACACACACACACACACACACACACGTGTGTGTAAAATGAAAAGGGGGGGAATTTGAGAGAACTCTCAGGAATCAGTGGTGCAGGGAGTGGTAGAGAGGGATGACACTGTATTTGGTAATCCAAAACTCTGGGTTCAAATCCAGCCTGGCCGGCTTGGATGCTTACAGCTGGTCTCCCTCCTTTGGTAATCTCCCCTTATCTTCTGGGTCTTCTAAGTAGCCTCAACTCCTCTCGGGAAAGATCCCATACATAAGACACCAACCAAGTGAATGCTGATGTCTCTCTGAGCCTCAGGGTCCTCATCCGCAAAAAGGACACAACGCAGCTAGGGTTTTTGGAAGCCTTCTATGAAAGCTCCTGGAAACCCGGGGGCTTTTTACACACCGAAGGAAGGGCGGAGGCGCCGGGTCGGACCGGCATCCGCCCAGAAATGCAGCATTGCCCAAAGAAAAAGCCTTAAAAGGGAAGAACACTTAAAGAAAATAAAGGTGAAATCCAGGCATGAGCTTTCCAAGGGGCCGCGGGCCTTCCCCGCCCCTCTCCGGGCCCCCAGGTGCGCCCCGCGCCGCCCACCGGCGCCAAGCTGGGGAGCCGCGCTAGGACCCGAGGAGGAAGCGCCGCAGGGATCCCGACGCGGCCTCCAGCGGGTGCTGCCGCGAGCGGCCGGCCGAGCGGCTGGAAATGAAAGTGCAGCGCTCCGGAGCCACATGGACCGAGCTGCCGGGGCGGCGGCGCCGGGAGCAGGATGCGGCCGCCCGTAATTAAATAGCACTTACTCTTATTATTACTAATAATAATAACCTAATCATACCTCTAGTCATAGCATACCATTTATCGGGCTCGGCTCAGGCCCGCGAGGAGCGCAGCCCGGCCGAGGTGAGTGCAGCGCGCGGCCCGCGCCCCGCGGGGCAGAGGCCGGGGCCCCAGCGCGTCGGGGCGGCCGGCGGGAAGGCGCGGGGGCCGCGGTCCCGCGGGCCGGAGGGGGTGAGGGAGCCCGGGCCGGGCCGGAGCTGCGCGGGGCCCCCCGGAAAGTGCATTTGGTGGAACTAAAGCAATGCCCCCATCCCCATTTCCTCCTTTTGGGGGCTCCCTCTCCCGGTCCCCGTGCCCTGCCCCAAAGTTTCAAAGTTATTGCGCGGCCGAGGGCACCTGCCGCCGGGTGATTCGGTCGCCCCTGAAGCTCCCCGGGGTGGTGCCTGGGGATTTTCTTCTGGGGGTGCTCTCTCCTTGGCGATCGGAGCCTTGGGGTACGCGGATGTTTTGCCGGCCCCCGCGAATGGGGCCCTGCCTTTTGTGTGCGCCTGGGCCCCGCAGCGCCGGGAGTTGGAGGGACTACAGCGAGGGCCGTGGACCATGGCCGCAGACAGGCCGTCCCTGTCGGCCGCGGCGGCCACGCAAGCCCGGGGATCCCGGGCCTGCGGCCCGGCCCGTGGGGAGGGGGCGGCAGGAAAGGGGGACGCGGCCTGGGCGATGGGCATTTCCGGTCGCGGAATCCATCCCTGGGCTCGGAGGCCTAAGAGAGGCCGTTCGACGGGAGGGAAGTGCAAGGGGGCTGAAAGGGACGGCTCCAGCGCCTGGGGGGCCACCCTGGGAGATGGGTGCCCGGGAGCTGCTGACCCCAGCCTTGGACTCCCCTCCGGTCCTCAGAGGACCTCAGAGACAGCTCCGGGCCTGCTCCCTCCTTTTACCCATTTCCGTAAAATCTGCCTGGCTCTAGTGTTTATACGGTGCCTGCTTTGGGGGTCTTTCACCGAGACAAAGCAGTTTTCCCAGGGGGAAAAGTCATGTAGGAACCATTCACTGACAGATCCTGATGGCTGTGGTGACTACATGGCATTAGTGGGGAAGAGTAGTGTTGGTGCCCAAGATGGGGGCTAAAGAAAGGGGATGGGGGGTGGAGTAGGGAACTGGAGTCCCACCCCAGCTTCGACAGGAATTTCATTCCTCTGGGGTTGCTCACTGGGACTTTGGTTCCCAGGCACCAGACTATGAACCCCAACTTCTTACTACTTTTCTCAGCCCTGTAATCCATCCAGTCTCACGAAAATAGCAGAATGCAGATCCTTGAATTTTCACAAGAATGTGATAATTACAGTACATTGAGCAACTGTTGGAAGCGAAATTCTAGCTGAATCTTCCGTTGTACTACCATGACTCCCCCTCCTCTCTCCTCACATACAATCATCCTCACAGTGTTGTCTTTCTCCATTTTCACTTCCCATAGAGATGATGCTGGGCCAAAGTGCAACTGGAGCAGGTTTGAGGCGCCTAGTGCCTTAAACTGGAAGGAGAAACCTGTGTCCAGGCGGGATGAGATCTGGGGATAGGAGAGAGATTTTGTGGCCCTTGAGCTGGGATGGGTTTGTGTTCCATGGATGCTGTGGATTCTAAGCTGTTGGCTTTTTGTTTCCAATGGACAGTTAAGAATGTGGGCTTTGATAGCTAAGGAGCAATGTGGAATGAGCTAGTCTTCCGAGTCTCAGGTACAGGAAAGTTGAGGCGTCAGGAGATTTGGATGTGAGAGTCTGAAAATAATATTCCCTTAAATAGCACTTTTTAGTTTATAATGAAAGGGCTTTCACATGTTGGTTCATCTGTCCTCCACAGCAGCCATGTTAGGTAGACATTTTTCTATCTTTCTTTTTTTGATTGATTTCAGAGAGAGGGGAAGGGAGTAGGGAGAGAGAGAGAAAGAGAAAGATGAGAGAGAAACATTGATTGGTTGCCACCTGCCACCTGTAAGCACCCCGACCAGAATCAGACCTAAAACCCAGGTATGTGCCCTGACTGGAAATCAAACCCACAACCTTGCGGTGCATGGGACGATGCTCCAATCAACTGAGCCACACCGGCCAGGGTTCATATAGACATTTTTCTTTTTTAAATTAATTTACTTTTGTTATAGATGTTTCTTCTTTTTTTTTATCCTCATTCGAGGACATTTTTGCATTTATCTTCAGATAGAGCAGGAAAGAGAGAGGGAGGAAGAGAGAAAAGAGAGAGAAACATTGATGTGAGAGAGACACATTGAGTGGTTGCCACCCGCACAACCCCAATGGGGGCCGGGGACAAACCGCAACTGAGGTACTTGACCCTAGTGGGAACCGAACCCCGGACTCTCTGGTCTGTGGGCCGATGCTCTAACCGTTGAGCCAAACCGGCCAGGGCAATGTTTCTACTTTTTATCCCATTGACACCCTCCTCCCAATCCCGCCCCCAGCATTGTTGTCTAGGTCCATGGTTATGCATATGGGTGGTTTATTTCCCCCCCCAGTTCCCCTCTTTTGAGGTTTGTCAGTCTGTACCCTGCTTCTATGTCTCTGGGTCTATTTTGTTTATCAGCCTGTTTTGTTCGTTATATTCCACAAATAAGTGAGATCATGTGATATTTGTCTTTTTCTGATTGGCTTGTTTGGCTTAGGATAATACTCTCTAGGTCCCTCCATGTTCTCTCAAGGATAAGAGATCTTTCTTTCTTTTTTAATCCTCACCCGAGGACATTTTTCCAATTTTTTGTTCAGATAGAGTGGGAAGGAGAGAGAGGGAGAGAGAGAGAGAAAGAGAAACATCGATGTGAAAGGGACACATTGAGTGGCTGCCACCCGCACGACCAACCAGGGCCAGGGACAAACTGCAACCGAGGTACATGCCCTTAGCGGGAACCAAACCCAGGTCTCTCTGGACTGCAGGCCGACGCTCTAACCGCTGAACCAAACCGGCCAGGGCAGAGATCTTTCTTTCTTACAGCTGCATAGTATTCCATTGTGTATATGTACCACAGCTTTTTTTTTTTTCTTTATTGATTTTAGAGAGAGAGGAAGGGAGAAGTAGGGAGAGATAGAAGCATGGATGAGAGAGAACATTTATTGGCCCCCTCCTGCATGCCCCCCACTGGGGATCAGGCCCACAACCTGGCCATGTGCCCTGACCGAGAATTGAACCAGTGACGCTCAACCACTGAGCCACACTGGCCGGGCTGTACCACAGCATTTTTATCCACTCATATTGATGGACACTTGGGCTGTTTCCAAATCTTAGCTATTATAATAGTGCTGCTATGAACATAGGGGTACATATATTCTTTCTGGTTGGTGTTTCAGGCTTCTTAGGGTATATTCCTAAAAGTGGGATCACGGGGTCAAATGGCAGTTCAGTTTTTAATGTTTTGAAGTAACACCATATTGTTTTCCATAGTGGCGGCACCAGTCTGCATTCCCACCAGTAGTGTACTGGAGTCCCCTTTCTCCACACCCTCGCTGGCCCTTTTGTTCGATAATTTGTTAATGGCAGCCATTCTGACAGGTGTGAGGTGCTACAGGCAGGCTTGGGGTTGAATTTGCCCTCTGAGCCAGCCTGCAAAGAGAATGTTAACTCGAGTGAACCAAGGAAGTGCTCAGTACTGGAGTCAATCAGTGGGAGTGGAGAGAAGAGAGAACCCCCGGGGTAACCTGGAAAAGTTAGGAAGAGCTCCTCCAGGAAGTAGAGCTTGAGCTCGAAAGAATGGGAAAGCTTAGCCGGGTGAAGAAGAGGACGTCACTCCTGGGCTTGCTTACCTCCATTTCCTCTGCGCTGGGAGGTTGATATGCTTTCTCTCTAATTCTTACAGTGGTTCCATGAGGAGTGGATGTTATTAATCTCCATCTCACAATTGAAGAAACTGAGAAATACAGGATTTATGTGACTGGCCCAAGATCACCCACTGGATTTCAACCCAGACCTGTATGACTGTTGAGTGGGTTACACTGGAACTGGGTCACCTCTTATTGGTGACACCATCTAATTGGACCACCTCCATCTTAGATATGTAGACAAGAACAGAGACCAGGCAAATGCAACAGGGGTGGGGGTTTAAGCTAAAAGGTCAGCAGGCTCCCCAAGGCCAGGGAGCTTTTCTAAAATAGCCCTATTCTAGGGCCTCGAGGAGCTGGCCCAGTAAATGTACTCTCAGAGATGTCTGGAAGTGAGGATGGAGAAAGCAGAATGGCCCTGGCAGGGGGCATGGGCCCTGAGCATGGAGACCTAAGTTCAGTTCCTTAGAGCCTGCCAGGTACCTGGCTGGGTACCTTGGAGGATCTTGTAGTTTGGACAGGAGAAAGATATGGATGATTATTAACTTGAGCTGCTCAAGGACAGGAACTGCGTCTCAGTCATCCCCTGTACCCTAGGCCTCAGTTGGAGGTGTCAGGGGGATACATTCAGCCATTGTGTTGTCAAAGTGAATTAGGCCCCACTGGAAAGGAGGAAGGTTTATTTTGTTTGAGGGTGTTCTTCCTAGAAGAAGTACCATTTGAATATTTAAAAGATGGCTTGAGAAAGGCCATAGAAAGGGAATTCTGAGATGCACTGAGACTGACAAAGGCAGGGCCACATAAAGAAGGAACAGGCAGCCCAGCTGGTGTGGCTCACTGGCTGAGCATAGACCCATGCACCAAGAGGTTGCCGGTTCGATTCCGGGTCAGGGCACATGCCCATGTTGTGGGCCCAATCACCAATGGGGGCCATGCAGGAGGTGGCCAGTCGATGTTCTCTCTCATCGATGTTTTCATCTCTCTCTCCCTTCCTCTCTCTCTAAAATCAATAAGGAAAAAAATTTTTTTTTAAAAAAAGGAACAGGCAGATCATCAACTGCAGCCTCAATATAGGCAGCAGGTGTGAGTTCAGGTTCAAATCCAGCTCTGCCACCTAGCTCCCTTGGGTTCTCTGGGCCTAAGTTTCTGTTCTGAAAACGAGTCCTGAGATTAGATGATGTTCGATGGTAACCTATGAAAGAAGCCCAGTGCCTGGGGGTCGGAACAGGAGATACAGATGAGAGGAACTGGAGGAGTTTATAAGTTATTAATAATTTAAAAACACCAGCCTGGCCAATGTGGCTCACTGGTTGAATATTGACCCATGCACTAAGAGGTCGATGGTTCGATTCCTGGTCAGGGCACAGGCCTGGGTTGTAGGCCCAATCCCCAGTGGGGGGCATGCAGGAGGTGGTCAGTCGATGTTCTCTCTCATCGATGTTTCTATCTCTCTCTCCCCCTTCCTCTCTCTCTAAAATCAATAAAGAAAAAATATTTTTAAATAAAAAAACACTGATCCAGCAATTACCTAGTGGTCAAGCCCTGTATGAGTGCTTTTTTCTAGATTAGCTTGTTTAATCTTTATAATATACCTATAGGTAGGCACTATAATTATCCCCATTTTATTTATTTATTTTTATTAGTCTTAGAGGAAAGCAGAAAGAGACAGAAGGAGACATCGATGTGAGAGAGAAACATCGATCGGCTGCCTCCTGCATGGGCTGGACTGGGCATTGAACCCACAACCTAGATATGTTCCCTGACAGGATGATGCTCTAACCAACTGAGCCACATTAGCCAGGGCTAATTATCCCCATTTTACAGATGAAGAGACTGTGGCACAGAGAGATTAAGTGACGTTGTGTAAGAGGCAGAGCTAGAGAGCAAACCCAGGGAGCCTGGCTCTTGAGTAAGCCTGGTGTGAGCCAGGTATGGCTGGGAGGGAGGAGTAGGGGTTGATGGGGTCAGTGGCGGCGGTCTTCAGACAGCAGAAGGTGGAGGTGTCCCCTGAGGAAGTCAGGCTGCAACCTGAAGCTGGAGCCTCGGCCTGGGTTGATGAAGTGACAGCTTTGTGTCAGCTCCCAGAAGCCTCCAAGAAGCCAGCTCTTTTCATCGCATTTAATGGCCCATAGAAAACGGGCTCATTTTCCTGTCTCTGTCATCACCAGCTACAGAGCTGCCTTCCACCTTATTTATTTCCCCCTGTTAGTCTGCTTCTTTGCAAACATCCTGATGGCTTCTGCAGGTGTATTCGCCCATCAGGCTGTTGGAGACCCGGAGGAAGGGGGAGCAGCATTTCTGATTCAGAACCCATCTACAGCTGACTTTGGTCAGCAGCAACTCCTGAGCCCTGAGTCAGAGGCTGAGACACCAGCTTGATGGTAACAGTGGCAGTAGCGACAGCAGCTACCACATATTTAACACTACTGTGTGCCAGCACTGTGCTTGGCACTTTCTGTGACTTACCGAATCCTCTTAATAACTCCTTCAGACAGGAACAATTATTAGAAGTCCCATTTCGCAGACGAGGAGACTGAGGTTCCAACATCACACGCTGTGGTGGAGCAAGGGTTCAGAGGGAGCCAGGCACTGTAGGCTTCTGCGTCTGAGGTCTTAGCTGCTGTGCAGGAGTGACACTTTCACGTTATTTTGGTCTCTACGAAGCTCTTTTTGCATCTGTCTGGAAATCCTGATTATCTAACATTTGTAGCACACTTTTGCCCATAGTCTCTCATTAATCCTCACGACAGTCCTCCAAGGTAAGAGATGTTCCTCTTATTCAGAAGAAGAAAACTAAGGGTCGCCCACCTCCAGCTCTTCCTACCCTGTCTACACTATGACTCAGAAAGGGAACAGTGTGTTAGAGCTGTGTCTTCCGAAGTGCCGGGGTCGGCCAGCGAGCAGTCATTGAGTACTTCCTGTGAGGGCTGCAGGGGATGTCGAGGCTGTGACCCTTCTGGGGTTTTCAGAGGGCTATCTGCTCTTATTTTCCACAGCATGTCATGCCCTGTCCCTCTGTGGACAGGAATGCAGGGCAGAGAGTCCAAAGTCCTGAGTTTCATTCCCAGCTCCAGCACATGCCAGCTGCATTTTGTGGGGCACGATCATTTCATCAGTCTTGGCCTCAGTCTCCTGTTCTGTAAAAGTGCCTTGCTGATTCAGTTCTATCTGCCTCGGGTTTGCTGTGTGTCTGAAATGAAGGAACTTTGAAAGCTATAAAGAGCTCTGGCCAGTTTGGCTCAGCCGTTAGAGCGACAGCCCTCGGACCAGAGTCTCAGGTTTGATTCCACCAAAGGGCATATACCTCAATTGCAATTCGATCCCCGGCCCTGGTTAGGGTCCTGCAGGAGGCAACCAGCTGGTGTGTCTCTCTCACATCGGATGTTTCTCTCTCTCTCTCTCTCTCTCTCCCTCCCTCCCACTCTATCTGAAAATCAATGGAAAAAGATCCTCAGGTGAGGATTAAAAACAAAGAGCTTAACAATAACCCACAAGCTTTGGATCAACTTTAAAAAAAAATGAAAGCTATAAAGACCACCTGATGTCTTCATAAGGCATGGTGTGGTTGCCCTGAGCATTTAATAACCTCCAGAATGTTCCTGAATAGCTCCACAGCCCTCCTGATCCAGGCCTGGACCACTGCAGTCGCCTCCCAGCTAATTTCCCAGCTTCCCCTCTCGTCATCCATCCTTAATGCAGCAGCCAAAGGGATCTTCTCAAGATTTATATATATATATATATTTTTTTTTTTTTAATTTATTTTTTATCCTCACCCGAGGACATTTTTGTGTTTATCTTCAGATAGAGCAGGGATGAAAGAGGGAGGAAGAGAGAGAGAAACATCGATGTGAGAGAGACACATCGATTGGCTGCCACCCACACGACCCCAACCAGGGCCGGGGACAAACTGCAACCGAGGTACGTGCCCTTAGTGGGAACCAAACTCGGGACTCTCTGGTCTGCGGGCCGACACTCTAACCACTGAGCAAACTGGCCAGGGCGGATCTTCTTAAGATTTAAATGAGACCTTGTCACTTCTCTGGTGAACACCTTCCAGTGCTTTCCTGACACAAGCAGAACACAGCGCTGTCCTTCCAGCCTGGCCTGCGTGTAGCTCTCAGACCTGCTCAGCCTACCCTCGCACCTGGCTTCCTACTTGGCTTGCCTTCCTCCAGCACTGGCACACTGGCCTTGTATTCCCTTGAGCATTCTAAGCTCATTCCCAACTCAGGGCCCTTGCCTTGCTGTATCCTCTGCCAGGTGCACACCTACCCACCTCCTGTGTTCCCATGCTGGCTCCTTTTTTCTCATGAATACCTCCTCAGAAGGGCCTTCCCTAAGCTCCCAGCCCACCCCCATCACTCCCTGCCATTGCCTATTTTACTTTCCTTGGAACCCTTATCTGGACTTTTACTTGTCTTGTGCATGTAACACTGACCTGTTTCTTTGTCGTCCCATGCCTGGAACACAAACTCCACAAGGCCAGGGACTTTATTAACCTTGTTGCCCAGCATCTGGCAGCACCCCTTGTACATGAGTGTTCTGTGGATATTTGTTGAAAAAATGAATAGTAGTAGCAGGGTGTTCCAGAACAGCCCTTGCCAAAAAGGAGTGGTCTAGACAGAAACTGCCAGGCAATTAGTATGGACTGATTTTGTGAGTCCACTAATTTTCTGAGTTGCCAGGGGCTCTCTACCAGTGTCCAGCTCAGCAGAAACACAAATTTCTGACCTTCTCTGTGCGGGGCACACTTTGTAAATCTGCAGATTGTCTTGCGAGGTGTATATCATGAGCTCCATATTGCAAATGACAAAAACTGAGGCTCAGAGAGGTGCCTCAAAAGCTGGTGGGAGACAGTGCTGAGATTGGAGCTCAGGTCCGGCATCCTGTACAGCTTCACTCCATGTCTTCAGGCAGTGAAGCAGGCAGAGCAGCCCCTGAAACTCTCTTGATGCCCAGGTGGTACAACCACAAGGATTTCTGAGCTCCCATGAGCAAGAGCAGTGACTTCTCAGTTGCTCAAAAGAAACACTCCCCAATGTTAAGCAGTCACTCTGAGCTATGGGACTCTTGAGTGTCTTCTGTTTTGTTTTGTTATACTTGCCCATAAATCCCAAGGGTTGTACAATGAGCTTCTGTTACTTTTCTATT